ATTACCATCTTTTTCGTTCACTGCAACACCATCTTAATGGGAAAATGTATGCAAATGTGGAAGGTGTTAAAGAACCAAGTGATTACTTTAATTAGACCATTAACAACCTGATTGTAAGATGGAAAAGCATCATCGATAAGAATGGAGACTATTTCATTTAATAATCGTTTTGTTTTGATATTAATTTCTTGATGACCTAATATTCATTTATTACCAGTAACATTTCAGTGCCATACCTTCATCAGCATGTTTTACTCCTATTCTAACACCTTGCAAAGTTCAACTGTTTTTATAAAAACTTCTGGGTAAAAGTAAGGAAAAATATAATAAATAATATGTCAACCACACATTATATCTGCTATATATGTCCTAGTGCTGGCTAGGACTTGTGGTCAATACCAGGGCTCATCAGGGCAGCTAGGATACAACAGACATAATGCTGGTTGAGACATCATTTATATATTATCAACTACTTGAACAACAACTGTTCTGGTGTGAACTAGAGAACAAAAGAATAAAAGGAAGTAATTTTTTATGAAAAAAGTGAATTTACATATTCTCATACATAACCAAACAAAAACTTATATATTTGAATTAGGTAACAATACATATGTCTGGGTTTCTAGAACCATTATACAATATCACTGAAATAAACTTCCATTTGAAAATAATACTGAGTGAATACATAGGTAAATCAAAGAAAAAAATTTAGGATTTATCATATGTAATAATTTCATCCGCCAAACTCTATATCTATTTATTTTTGGTTTTAGTTTTTTAATCAGTACTACTAAAACGTTATTGTTGTCTAGATATGACTTTTTTAACACTTTTATATCTATGATATCACTGTAAGTTATTACCTTTTAAAGTATTCTGTACTCTGATAAAGTATTGTATTATTTCCTTGTTATAATGCTTTGGAGGCTTAACCTCCCCAAATAAACCTTCCCTTATGGGGCACTACTCTCACCAACTAAAAAATATTATACAGTATATGTGGAGAGAGAGACAAAGAAATCAAAATAGGGTGTATGTAAGTCTCTGAGGAGAGTTTATTCACTTAGGAGAATGAAGTGGTTCTTCCAACTTACAAAATTCCTCATAAACAATAGAATAACTTACTCAAATAATAGACCCAATCGCTGCCTGTGTTAGTAAGCTATATTCTCAATGTTTGAAACACCTTGCTCTGTTTAAGGCATTTCTCTCTCTTAATGCATTTGAAAAGGACAAAGGAGAACAAAAAGTTTTGTAACTTTTGCCTGGAGGTTGAATAATTTTGGTGAACTAGTAAACTTGTGTCAGAAGTGGTTAAAAGTCCATCTCGTTGTGTGTGTACGTGTGTGTGTGTGTATCTTTTTTATCATGGCAGAGTTGTCACTTGGTAAAACAATAATATTTGATAGATGAGCATGTTTCTGTGTTTAGTCATAACTAAAGATTAATCCAAGATGAGAAAAAAAGTTTTTCTAAGATATTTAAAAAAACTATTTTACTTGTATATCAAATATTATTTACATTATTACTGCAACATGTATCCTGTAAAGTATTTTAAAGTAATTTAGTTACTAGTAATTAAACTGGGATTTTGAAAGAGGTAGAACTCTTTTCTACTCCACTTTAAAGTTTCAATCAGAAAACCAGAATATACTCTAATAGCTTGATTCTTCAAGTGGCAGAATTCCATTCTGGACCATTCTACATTAGTTTAACTCTTGCTAGTTACATGTTTTAGAATAAACAGTTTACTCCTTGTTCTCACCTATCAACTATGCAGGGCAAGTTATCCAAATAAATTTCCATATGACTTCCAACGTTCAGATTTTCCCCACTGAGGTACAACCTGGTTCCACCTGCCATGGGTCCAATAGTTGGGTGGATATTTTCCAAGTTCACTACCTAAAAAAAGTAAAAGTTTTATTTGAATATGCTCTTCTTTGTTTCTTAATATTTTTTTTTTTACAACAGCTTTAAATAATCAAATTAATTATTCAATTTCTTAAAAAAGTGATACAACTAAATACATAATATTTAATCGACTACTGTAATGAAACACACATATTCTCTATTAATATATATATACATTTCTCTTTTGTATTCAGTAGAAAAGTGCATCTAACCTTGTACAAAAACTGTTCTCGAGCTCTAGTCAGACCTGCATTGTTTCCAACAACAATCTCAGCAGCTCCAGGTGTTTTGTTAGGGCCTGTACGACACACAACTCTGTACAATATAAAAAAAGCAAAATTTGAAACCTGTTAAAATATTCACGAGATCAAACAAAAAAAAATCTTTCAATTCACAAAGGTACAGGAGAGAGGTAACCATAGACTGTCAAAACTGACCTAAAATTCTCTATTCTCTCTAGCTGACACTGACTGTTGACAAAATAAAAAAGTTTGTGTAAAACATTTCTTTTGAGAAGGCCAGTTGTTCAATAATTGAAAGTTAAGCTACTTGATTTTTTTTTCATTTCCCTATATAAGTATATTCATTCTAATGTTTCTCTGAGATATCTTTTTGAATTAACTTTGGTTTGTCTATTTTACTTTGTATTTTTAATGTATTTTGTTAAATTTTCCCATTATTGCTTAAGCATTTTCAATGATGCATAAACCACCCTATACTATAAGAAATCACTTTTTGTAAAGCGGTAAACTAGTGAACAGTTAATATTTAAAAATATGTGTTCTTTACTTCAAAACTCATATTTGTTACAAATGTGTAAATACATACAAACACACACACAGGTAGTTGGTTTGGTAGCATTCCAAAAACTATCAAAGGAGGGCTTTTATTTTAGATTTATAAATTTTATTTTTTCAATATTTTACACTAGGAATATCAGTGAGAGTTAACTGGTCACTTGAAGTAAGTAATATTAGGACTAAGGGCACAATTAGTGACAGCTGGGAGGCTGAGACTCACTTTCTGACTAAATTTATTTTGTATTTTCACCTGTACTTGATAAATATGGCAAGTTTAAACATTCTCAAAAGCTTTTCAGTTGTTACTGTCGTAGCTATTTTCGGGGTTATAACCTCTGCAGGTTTTTTTGCAATTGGTGAAATCTTAAATATTTGAATTTGAAGTTTTTATGCAAGATGTTTTGTAATATGTAAATACATGTATGCATGCGCATATTTAAATTATACATAATTTACAGGAAGGTATGAAAGGTAATTAAAAAGTCACAGATCTGCATGTGCTATAAAGTTTCAGTATTTCTGAAATGTTATACTTCATGGAATTAAAAAAAAAATAGTAAATAAAACAATTACTTTCTGGCAGTTTTACTATAAATCTTACCTTACTGATATACTGTATTCAACTGGAATGCAAGGAATACCTCCAATTGTTATCTTGTTACCTATTTCTTCTTCACTAGTACCAAGATTACTTCCTTCTATAGCCATTAAAGTGCCACCTTGTATTGGTCCACTGAGTGGGTGGATCTATTACAAGAGATATACTAATGTTGATTTCACAGAAACTACCAGAACACAAGTCTTAATAAGATATCAAGTAGATTTTACATTGTGGTCTATATGAAAACTAGTTTAAAAGATTTTACACTCATTTGAAGGTACTGAAAAGTTTATTATCATTGTGTATAATGTCTCAGATGGCAAAGCATGATCTGTTGATTGATAACAAGTAAAGTAATAACAATATTAATGATATTTTTATTCACTAGCCCTATAGAAGTTTCCATTAAGAAGAATGCATAACAGCTTTTCAAGCACACACACACACACACACATAGTGTGCTGCATGCTGTTTCTGCTGACCAAGTCTTTAGTTACTGATTAACTACAAGAAAATACTGTCAATGCAGTTACTTGTGTATATATATAATGTTTGAACTGCTTTTATATGTTAATATTTCTACTTATATTATTCCACTCTGCAATATTATTATTATTAAATTTACCAAGTTTCTTTAACTTTAAAATATAATCATTTTAACAGATAAGGAACTCACCCAGTCTATTCGAGGTGGAGGACATGTTAGTGCTGGTGTCTCAAGACAAGAGTTACTATAACTGCACTGGTCACCACACCAAGCACATCGAAATTTTGGGTGTCTGGTCAGACACAGAGAACAGTCTGCTTGTCCTCCATGACTTCCCAATAGATGACATTTGTACAATGTAACTAAAAATAAAAGAAAATGTAAACTCTAAAACTAACCATGAAGACATGATAATAGATATGCACATAAAACAAAAATAATTTTGTCAAAAGCAGAAAATACATCTCTTTACTTTTCTATTTATAAGAAATTAAAATAAATTCAGTCAACCCAAATTGTCATTTAAATCATTAAAATAGCTTTAAGCTTATCAAAAGGAAAATTATTATCCAAAAGACTAAAATTTTTATCTTTGCAAAATTAAATGAATGCTAAAAATATCTGCTCTGAAAAATTTTATAATTACTAGAATTATCTGTTGATAAATATGATTATATTATTAACCATTAATGACTCCAGAAATAAGTAACTTGCATGCAAAAATAAATTAATTTATCATGATATTTTTAATTAATATGAACATAGATTATATTACTAATGGCAACAAATGATTAAAATTTAAGAAAAACAATGTCATTTGAAGATACACTACCTATAGTTTGGTCTATGTAAGAGTCACCATGCCAGAAAACTGTCAATGTTGCATTCAACTGGCCCACTTCGGCCTCATAGGTATACTACAGTAAAAGTAGAGCATTTTACTATTAATTATCAGTTTTATACTGAAGAGATGGATATAAAAAACTGATGACATTTAATACTGCTCAATATAATGATTTTTTAAACTATCCCAACTCTAACTGTTCCAATTACCAGCAAATTAGGACTAAGAAGAAGAAAACTGCTGAGAATAATGTTGTTAACACTATTCATATTTTAAACTTGCATAAAACTGAAAAAAAGTTAAGGATGAACAATAAAATTTAGCAAAATTTCACACATTAGACAGAATAATAATGAATAGTAAATTTCTAGTTTTCACATGGAATATAAAAATTAACAAATTGTGACATTAGGAGTATATCTCACCACTGTTTCTGCACAGATTATTTTATTGCCATAAACCCTTGCTAGCACTCTTTCTTTGGCTCCTTCAATCTCTACAACACACTGAAAGTTATCCTGCAAAAAAAGAAAAAAATCTCCCTGACTCAGTTCTTCTCATAATCAAAGTTTGTTTGATTTTTATAATAATATTTTCAAGTAATGTACTATGTTTATACACACAAAAAAATTGAAGAATAGAAGATAATACACTCATGTAAAAATTTTATTTTTTACAAAAGTTCTCATACAGACTACAATGTACAAGAGATATTTATTGTAAATGTTTAACAGCAACCACTGTGCTTACCAATAGACTAGGGAGGTTCTTTCCATCTAAAGCTATCTCCTTCCTCACTCCATTAGGAAGAAGAATTTCTCTCTTCAAAGCAAAACTAGGACAATATCGTCTTCCTTTAATGAGTGAATTCTGGGGACTCTGTAAAAAAAGTCAATATCTAGTCATTTAATCCCCATTCTAAAACTGTATATGTACATCACACTACAAACATAAAACTAATTTAAATTATAATTTTAAGAATACATTCTTGTAATTACTGCTGCTACTTACAACAAAGGATTTGATTATAATCAATACTTAAGCAAAACATCAAGAGTTATATTTTGGACATCTATTAATATTAATTTCCAATCAGAGCAAGCTACCCACTTAGAGAGAAACTGAAATTTTGTTATAACCCATGGCAGCATACTAGAAAAAAAAAACTGCATTAAATCTTTGAGAGATTTGGCTTATAGGATTAGTGTATATATTATTGTAGTAAGGTGTTTTTTAATTTTGTGTGTATGATTATGATCATACATATTTTTATGAAAACTTTTGATGGAAGATGTTTTTAACAGTCAAAGAATTAGGGAAAGGATGGAATCAATATTTCATAATATTTAAATGTACTGACACCAAAGACAATATTAGAAAGCACTGAAATCAAAGATACAAAGTTGAAGTTTAGGGAAAAGATATATTAAAATGTTTTTAATACAGATATATAAACAAGTAAAAATAAGAATCTGACTTTTTGTCTTAAACAAAAAAGTAATTAAGGGGAATGTTAAAAAAAACATTTGGAGTCAAACATGATTTTAATCACTTTTTTTTTATTAAAAGCCATATAGCTATACCAGTTTAGACATTTTACAGTACTGCATAAAGCAACTTAATGTTTACTTGCAAATAAAAAAATTTTGAATTTCATTAATTCGCTTTTTTTTAATATAATACAAAATACATATTATTTCAACTAAAAGCTATGCTAAGTAAAAGCTAAAAATCTGTTTAACAATACAAACATTTTCTCCGGTGATTATGGTTCGAAGACAGGAGCTGCTGTTGTGCATACAGCGGTTCTCGTGTAAACACCAACTACATGCCCATGAACTTGTCACACAAGAAGAACATCTAAGATGCACAACAAACATCAATGTTACAATTGTGTTTTTAATAATCTATTGTGATTTATTCAAATAAGTTTTGCAATTGAATTAATAAATATGATAAACGTACTCTGATCATATAAACTTAGTACTGTTTATAATTCTAAAAACCTACAAGTGAATACATAAAAGTGTATGTAAAATAATATGTCAACCACACTACATCTGCCATATTCAGTGCTGAAGAAGCCTTTTGCTCAATACCGGGGCTCATCAGGCTGGTCGAGATACAACAGACACGGACATTATTTAAATCATCAATTTCATGAACAACAGCTTTAATGATGTCAACTAGATTAAGGGAAGTGAATTACAATTATTATCATTTTTATTTAAATCATTTACAAATCAGAATTATTGTAAGGATTGATAACACAATATTATTTATGTATATATATTTAACATTGATTAATTACCATTATTATTTTATTTGAATTAACTTTATAATCATTCAGAAGAACTGGCAAACCAGCATGCTAGTCTTATTGTTCCAGGAGAGAATTAACAAAGCAGAATACTGCTTTATTTAATAAGTTACAGAATTAGATACGTTTCTATCTTGACAGTTCAACTCTGGAGAATTAAGGAGTAAGTAGAAATAAAAAAGGCAGGATTAAATATAGCATAATAAGCTAATATGTATTTTTTTTTATAATGTAGATCAGACCAGTAACACAATCTATTTATTAAGTCCATGATTTATATTCCACTGCACATTACCTGATAAAGAATATATGGTTACTTGGTATTACAATGAGTAACCCAGAAAATTAAATTGATTTTTACACATGAGTAGAGCCTAAATGGAAAGCATGTGATATTGACAACAAACGAGAGGGAAAACACCAAGATAAGAAACTGAAGAAAACTGCAAACTTTGAAAAAAATATCATCTGAAAACTTTTAAGTCAGATATTCAGTTATAGAATGAATCCATAATGTGAAATACTTACGTTTCGTGTACAGAACAATCATAAAATGCAAAAGGTTTGTGAAGAAAGTCGGTATTGGTTTCACTGGAGCGGACAGCTAGGTCCACAATGACATGATCTGACAAAAAAATATAAAAGAACTCATTTCAGAACTAATATAAGATAAAACAGTAATTTCAATAGTTATAATGTAGTCAAAAACAGTCAATGGATTACAAAGATTTAAAATATATTTATATTAGTCTTTCCAATCCAGTTATTTCTATAAATGTTACCTATTTCTTGCACTTATTTTATAAAACAAACATAAAACATTCATACTTAAGTTATTTTAAATATAGTTTTCAATATGCTTCTATTAGAATAACAACATAAAATTCATTCTGTAGTATAGTGCTCATAACAGTCAAACCCTTAACAGCATGAAATTTATTACATTATAATCATCATGTTAATTGTGAACTTAAATGATTAAATATCTAATATAAAGTTTTTTGTGATTATTTTGATTACAGTTGTTCAGCACCATGGATTTTACCTTTATGAGGTAAGATGGAAGGACGGTCCTCAATTCTTGGTGTCATACATGCAAGTCCTGTTCCTGTCACTTGAGCCCTAATGGTTGCACTGTTACCAAACACACACAGGTAATGTGCTCCAAATGGTAGGTTGGGTAGTTGGTTGATAACCAGCTCCACCTATTATACAAATGAAAAGTTAAGGTTATATTGTTCCTTTTTCATTACTGCTGCACAAATTCAATGGCATTAATATGTATAAAGTTGAAACCCAAATACAAAATTTAATCATTAAGAGTTCAATCAAGCATGTACACACACACTAACATAGCTATGAACTAACTGAAGATGCTGCATAAAATTACTGACCTCTCATTTTCTCTCTGCCTTTTCCAATCAATTATCCTGACAAATGTACAGCACCTATTTATAACTTTAAAAGTATGATTTCCACAGTGTCTATTATTAAGCTTTAGCTTTTGAGTTATCACATACACTCTTCTCACATCTCACTAGACAAAAGCTCAACTGCCAATTCTTGGGCTACTCTAATCAAATAGTGCAGTTTAACTGTTACTCTTATAATACACCACACTGCCCCAAAGTTGGATTGAAATTTTGCAGCAATAACACATAAAGCATGTCACCTTGAATTCACAGCTTTGCATGTAACTACTCAGCCATGACTAGTTCTCTTTGTAAAATTTGGATGATGATAAAATATGTCTCTATGAAGCCACACAAATCCACAAGAACAAGATAATTCCTATACAAGAGCAAGTATAAGCAGGAATTCATGCATTTGCAGACACTTACTATAGACTTTTGTTATTTTGGCTTGCTGAAGTAGTTCCCCAAAAGTTGCCATTTTCTACACTGTTCACAAACTAGGACATTTGAGATAAGGAGGAGGCAAAAGTAACCACAAGAGGTATTGTGAAAAAGTTTCCTTCTGTGAAAATTGTGTTGCAGAGCAATAGTCCACAGCACAGAACACCTCTGTGGAGAAACATTGGGCTGTGAGAGGGAGGAACTCATCCTCATCTCATTATTCCATACATCGTGAACATCCTTTCCAGTCATATTAATGCATATCATACTTGTGTTTAATATTATTAGCACAACGACAATAGTTAAATAAATTTAAGTTCTTTCAAAGTTAAAGAACAATATCTGAGCCACTATTTAAGAGCTCATCATTTTTTGACGTATTCAGTAGTGGTGTCCATGAAACCATCATTACAGTTAGACTAAACACTAATAACCTCGTAATACCTTATTTCCTCTTTGAAAAATTAATATTATAAAATTCTAGAGGGGAATAGCAAAATCTGAAAAAATGCACTAATCATGAAGTATGATAGTACTTCTTAACAGAGATCACTCAGGAATTTCACAAAAATTCTAACAGAACATACCATCTTAAAAAGCAGACTTGTTCTTGAAACAACATTCAAGACCTATCTCAATGGCTAAGACTGCCAACCAAAAACACCAAAAAAGTTGATTTTACAATTGTTAGACTAAATTCAGAATTCATCCATTTGTTCTTCATATTATTACAAGATAATTAAAAATTGTTAACTTAAAACGGGATATAGGGATCATCAAAAAGTACAGAAAGAAGTTGAATCAAAATGCAAAGATTATATATTTTCAAGCCTACAACTAGGGACTCAAAAAACGTATACAAACTAGGCTGCAAATAGTGTCTACATTATTTTCTCAAGCTACAAATGTCTACAGTACTTGTCAATTTTAGTGGAGTCAAAATAGGGATTTGTAGCTTAAGAAAATAATGTAGACACTATTTGCAGCCTAGTTAAATTTAGCTTACCATAATCATGCTAGTAACAGGAAGCTGTTCCGGTTTGACAGCTTGGACATCGATACATTGTTGGGTGTTCAGTGAGAGCCATCGTGGCGAGCTATCGCTAAAACCGCTGGTGGCGTTCTGACACGCGCTCGTAACTGTACACCTGGGGAAAGAGCCCAAAATCAGCAACATTTACACATATTTATACTAATATTCATAAACAGATAAGATGACTCTTCAACAATCTATATAATATTTTGCTGCAACATGAATATTACGAAATACCTGAATTCGATCTATGTGAAACTTCGCAAGTTTGATCACTAATGAGAAAGTAATGATATGTTATGTCACTTAATTACTTATTACTCTTCATTATGCTCAGTCTGCCAAAAAAAAGGTATTTGTATTTATGACAAAGCTACTATGGTTCTCTGCCGCAGTCCCTAATTTTGAACTACTGACCAAAAGTAAAGTCAGCCAGCCAGTCAGCACCCTACAACTCACCATCTACACTAAAGGATTAACTATCATTCTTATAATATTTTGTAGTAGCCGTACAGATTCCATCCAGTCTCGCCAGCTCCGAAATCCAGAGTTCTACCACAAGGCCAATCCGCGTTTTTGGCAGAATGCAATGTATGTTCATGTCTATTAGTGCAAATACTTCTTGAAGATTTGTGTATGTAAATGTTTCATAAGTCAGTAAGTTAAAACAATTTTTATTTTTATTCCTTAGCGGTTTCACATTTATATATGCTCTTCAGAGAACAACCATAGAATATAGAAACCCCCAACGCACAATAACAGAATAAAAGTGTATACAGACTGAATCTAAATAGTAAAACATTTTCCTGTATAAGAAACCACCACTGGATGCTTAATGAATAAACATTATTTTAAGTTTTTATACTTTTGTGTTTTCTTTTTTGTATATATATATATTCGTTCTCACTTTTCTAACCGCTGATCTTAAACGTAAAATATTTGTTTTTTCATTACGTGCTGTAACTTAAGAGTAGAATAAAATATTTTACACTTCGATCACCATACCACTCTTTGTTTCTTGTTTATTTGTATTTATTATATTATTTCAAGAGAAACATTGAGCAAAATTTGCATTAGTATCTCTTTCAATCATTGTAAGTCAGATTTGGTTATTACATCAGTGGTGAGCAATCCACCGTGTCCCCTAGTCAACGTGAAACCTCCTCGCTTCCAAAAACCAAAACATAACACAAGTGATTTGTAAGAGTTTATGATGACATCAGGCTAAGTCCAGGAAATAAAAACCCAAACTGTAATTAATAATTGCTTGTCTACCGTAGTTTTTACAATCGTCAGTGGAGAATTATTATAAATTTAATAATATTTCACATATAACTATTTTTATTTAAATGTATCTTTCTTCAGCTTATGACTGTTAAAAGAGGTGTTGCGGCCTTTACGGGTTTTTGAAGGGCCGCACTTCTGGCCCTCAGATCAGTTTAGGTTACTCACAACTGAATTACGTACATTTAAAAAAAGAGATAAATCTGTGTATTCAAAATGTTTTGCGTATTGCTTAGACAGAAAATGGCACTAATGGTAAATAACTATTGGGTTATGTGTTTATTTTACAATTTCTGAAGCAATGGCATCTAAAGTAAACGGCACTAATTAATCTACAGTTGATTTTTCTGCCATTCCAATCGTAAACATTTGGGTTAGCGGTATGCTAAAATAGGCTAAATATTTATTCATAAGCAACACTGGTGGAAACGGCTTAAATCTGATAATTTACTGAAGAATGGAAACTAAAAAGCGACAGATGACACACGTGCATGGTTAGATTTTCTCTACACAGTATTATAAGGTTAATTTGCTTTCGACACCGCCAGAACTGATGAATCTCTGTCAATAGGTTTCCTTTGATTTGGGCGGTGACTCCTGTATCACGATACACTCCGTTTGTGTAGACTTTTGCTCTTCTTTCAATCACGCTAAATTATTTCTTTTTTTTGTAACAAAGTAAGTTGCTGTTATACATAGATAAAAAAACGACCTTCTTTAAAAACTACACATATATATTCATATAACCGAAACTACCAGAAGCAAATGGGTAACATCAGTAAAAGCTAGAATGACAGCTGAAAACTATTTGATTACTGATGATGAATAATCTTTAAGATATCTAGCTTATCGTTCACAGCTTTCTTGTTTGAAGGTAAAGTAATACACGATAAAATTCAAAACTCAGTTAACCATGCCTACACACTAGTCCTTATAACAAAGGCTACGTTGTTCATAGTGAAGATTACCCAACGTTTCGAACTGTTTTTAGAGTCAAGTTACATTTATTTTATTATTAACTAATTACAACTCTACAGCGAGTGTCAGATAGCTGAATAAATGTTTAAACGATAATCCATGGAATATAAAGGTCTGATTCTTGCTTGGAAAGAAACTTTTAAGGATAGTTATTCATATATTTGGTTTCCATTTAAAGCGTGTAAAATGTAATTAGTTCCATCGAAAAATGTTGACAAAAATTGCATACAGATTAATTTTCTTTTTTAAAAAAAAGTAGATCTCAAGGTATTACAAATGTATGGTTAGAAAACACGAGCAACAAATATGGAAATTATTCTTGAAAACTTAGCATTGATTACCATAAGGTAAAAAAAAATTAAATCAGCACTGGTATTCGTGTGTATAATGATTTCATCCATTCACTTATTTTAACTACACTGTGTTGACAAGTTACTTCTTGTTCCAAAATGGGACGTATCTTAGATTTTAAAAAAAAAGTGTAATTACTTTGTTATCTAGACTTACCGTTTTTCAAGAGAACACCAACCACAATAAGGGTTTCGTGCTTTTAGACACAATTCGCAACTGTTATACTGTTGACATTGTTCGATCCGTGCTTTGGTTAACTATATGAAGTATGAGAAATGCAACATGTCAATACACAAAATGCAACACTTACTAATTCCTTCGGTCAGAATCTACTTACTCATAAATATGAATATGTTACCCTTTAGTTTTGTCTGTTAAAATAATCATTTATTCTAAAAATCATGCAAGATCAAGATAAAGCAGTTAAAACAATTAAATAACTCGATAATACGATCGTTCACGGAAAAGTTTATCCTCCCCTGAGGGTTTTTCAAAAGCGCTTGTCGGGATTTGTTCAATGAGACTTGTTTTTTTTAAATATTAAGTAACATATACAAATGTGATCTGTATAGAATGAAAAATAATATAAATACACTAGAAAATTACAAAAAGATTTGATAAATCATCAAGTAGTTTTTCTATTAAAATTATACCGTTCAAACAGTTTTTGTTGTTTAACTCTATTGTTGTAGTTGGAATACATTGAGCATTTGTTTTTGTTAGGATATAAATATGACTAATTTCAAACTTATAAATAATTTATTGCATAAACAATTCGGTTTACGCCTTCAAAAGGACGCACTATCTACACGCAAACTCTTCAGGGTATACATCGAGATGAAATATTAAGTCGAAACGTTAACGTTCCAACAGTTTGTGTTACAATAACTAATATACAGATATGTTTAAGTACTCTACACTATATAGTACACATGAAGATGTGTATGAATTCCTTCGAAAATCTCAATTTGAATAAAGTATGTTTATTATAATTTTGCCCCTCCAAAAGCACGTTGTCTGCAAAACGGCTTTGTTTGTTTTAGGCTTAATGTGCAAAGCTATAAAAGGGGTCATCCCTAATTTTCAACTGATAGACTAGAAGAAAGGCAGCTAGTCAGCAGTATCCACCGCCAACTCTTGGTAATACAAGTAACACTGAGATATTGATGCAAAACATAAGGTTTTGAATTTGATTCCGAGAGCAATACGTTTCCAGGTGTTTGAAGCTTTGGTCGATTAACGCAGCTGTGACTCAGGACATACAAAGATTTTCTTAACCCCCCCTCTGATATTCTTTTCATTTTTAACTGATTTTTGACAACACGATTTGCTGACGTATTGCTGTAACAAATGAAATACAGAAGCTAAAGTGGTGAGTTTGTAGTAAAATACAGACAGACACACACAATAAAAAATACAGCACCAGAGGCATCGCTAGGTACTTAAAAGATTCTGGGCTCGGGCCCTAGGGCACGGGAATTTTCGGCGTTTCAACATGATTTCGATCATGATTTTCTATTCTGATTTTTCAAGACACCAACTTGGGCTTCGGGGCGCAGAACCCGTGTGCCAGTCAGTGCCTAGCAATGCCTCTGTACAGCACATACGATCATTAAGATGTTCTGTGTCTTTCTTCTTCACTTTCGTCGTTTTACAAGTATATAAAGGCTATATTTCCATACCTCTATTTATCTATTAAACACTCCCTGTCTCTCTTACGACTTCATTTGTGATCTACTTATCTGTCTGTCTCTTTTTTTTTTATAGATATTCAGTATTTTATGTTGTTTTATTTAGTCATTTGACTGTGTATTTATTTTCTAAGCAATGCAACTTTGAGGTTAAATTTGTTTGTGATTTCCGATAACAAAAAATATATAAAAACAATCAAACATCAGATTAATCAATTTTCCTGCGGCTCGCCTAATGCAGGTAAGGGCTCTTAACACCAAAACATTATTTAACCAAATGGAAGGTATCCATAACACATATATCACTATAAAATATATTGAAAGAATAAAATTGTGTAACAAAGCGTCTACATGTCTACGATAACTACAGAACGACATTCTTTAGCGACGCAAAAGCTTATAGCTCAAGTTTTTAAAATTAAACTTAGTTTGTGCGGAAAAAAATTCACCACCAAAGATATGACATAAAGAAATACTTATCTGAATAAAAAATAAGTGTATGTGAGCATGACAAAACTGTTATTCAGGGTATCATTTTTATACCTGTAAACATAAAATACTCAACCCACTTAAAGTAAATGGGGGGAGAGGATACAAACGCCTATCATATTGACAAATCTTAAATATCCCACGAACTTGTGTTTGTTTTATGTAGTAGCAATAAATAAATCACTTCCAAAGATAAGATGTCACATCAAAAGAGAAGCAACAAGAAAATACAGCAAGGTGAAATCCGGCAGTCAAGAAGCGCGGTAACAATGAACTTAATGATAACGTTTCAGTTCCTTATGTCTTACGGTCTAAAACTAATTTTGAAAAATAAAAATGGTCATAGTGGAGTAATGATGGTAACTGTTAGCGATAGGAAAGCCGGAGTACTAATTACAGATCTGAAACCGCTTCAAGCCTACCTTGTAAGGAGAAGCAACGTAGACGAACTGTTCTGTGGTATCAAGGTGGAGGTCGGCAAGCACCGGGTTACCTGGATCAACAGCCACCTCCTCGAATTCGTCGGCATCTTCTCCGTTGTTAATCAGCATCTGGTGATATTCAATACAGAACTATCAGCGGTTCTCTCCGTCTTTCTTTTCACTTTCATCAACATATAAGTATATAGCGCTTTGTCGAAACGTTCTACATTTGTTACTATGTTGCAGTTGTAATAAAGTTTAACACTATTTTAACTGTAATTTTTATTACTTAATTTTTGACCTACCTAACATTTTGTATACACATCGATGTCTTATGTTTCATTTATTTGTTTACTTAAGCTTACGTTTCAAAGATTTTACTTTATAACAGAGCATTAGAATCTTTCCTCTTCCCTTGCCTATAAAAGCTTACTTGTAATACCGGACGGATATGCACAGTCCAATTTACGTAAACTCAGCTCCTTTCGCCTCTAAATCAAAAGTACGACAATAAGTTAAAATCATTAACTTGCTTTTTTATATCATAAACAATAGAAAAATAATTATGTATTTTATGGGGGATTCATAGAAAAAAAAGTAGAAAATGAATCTACTCTGGATCACTGGTGGGCGAACGGAGCTTCTGAAAATAACAGAAAGCTTAAGAGGCTTAGATGGAGACATCACTGTACTTAAATATATAACTTTACCGTGGCTTTTCCATTAAATCAAATACAAGAAAAACATTAGTACCCAAGTCTAAAGAATTTAGAATGCTGTGTGTAAATTATGTATAGTAAAAGGGCAATAATGTGAGGGGGGAAAATGGATTTTGCACATTGATAAAAAGGATATGTACTACACTGTTCCCATGACACATATTTAAATACAATACTCATTAAAACGCTAAAAATCTTCTGGTCGTAATCTTGGAAAAATTCGAGGTGTTTCGCATCAAACTGCGTTCAGGACTTTTTTACATTCAAACAGCACTTAATTCTCAAACTTTTAAAGCTGGCATACCCTCTTTTCAAATTTAGTACATATTCGCGTACTTCCATTATTTTGATACTGAAAATAAATAAACATACGTATTATTTTATCGTAGTAATTATTCTTTTTGATAGGTGAGCGGTTTCTTTTACTTTCATGTTAAGTTTCACGTCCCCCCCAGGGGTACGCGTATCTGATTTTAAAAAACACACACTGAAATACGCCAACTGTCAAAATACGTCAATAAATAAAAACAGTCTTTAGCATCATCAAAGGTGGGAGGGATATTTCTCACTTATTAACACACACCCAATTAAACTTGCGTAACTTACCAATATTTATTAAAGCGTACTAACGAGTTATCATCAACCGTGGGGAGTCTGAAACTGCGATAACCGCAATGAAATAAAACCTTTGTAAGATTCTAAACATTCAGTGAGATAACAAGCGTTGTTATCTAAGATGGGAAGCTGTTGCTCAAGTAACACATCACCATGGGCGCCCGCAGGATGGGGCGGTAGGGGGTTATATCCCCCCGGAATTTAATAAGAACATTTATTTGGTTAATCTATTTAAAAATGTGTTAGAAAATAATACTATTTAACTAAAAATGACAAAATTTGGTGTATATAAATAAGCCATAATCAGCCAGAGCATCGCATTTAGACTTCAAGGCAATGGCCTGCGCTTTATGATTGCTACCGTTTCACTCATTAAATAAAAACTGCAATCTTCTTTTCTAGCTTCCAAATTGATGATGACCATCTCCATCGTTTCCATCACCGTCTGAATCATGCTAGTAAGATTCACAATACCATCTCCATCGTTTCCATCACCGTCTGAATCATGCTAGTAAGATTCACAATACCACAGAATAGCGTTAACACACA